TGACATGTATCCATTTGTTGATCTGGTATAGTTCTGTTTGCTGTTATAACTTTAATATCACTAATATGTGGATTTTTAGATACAGTACATTGATTATTAGATTTTGGGAATAAGAAGAATAACATAGATGTATTTAGGTAGCTCATCATGTTTGAACAATTAATTCTAGAAACAGATTGATTGGGTGGAAAATCATATTCAGTTGTTATTTGATCTGGAACAAATAATGGTGTTTTACTATATTTATCATATATTTCTTTCAATACTGAATCCTTAACATTAAAACCATTAATAACACTTTGGAATAATGTACAATTACTTTCTTGAATTTGAACTGTTCCAGTAAACTGACTAAAGCTATTTCCAGTTGAGAAATAACAATAACCAAGAATAAGTGATTTATCACCAATTTGTGTAAATTCTTTAGACACACCTTTCATCCAATCAGAAGTTGAACATGTAATTGCATCTGATGCTAAATGATTTTCATAAAATTCATCGCATAATATTGCTGGATTAACCTGACAATAAACAAAGATTAGAGTAATTCTTTGTTTAGTATCTAATTCAAATTCATTAAATATTGCATTTGGATATGAAGTAAATGATTGTAAAGGCAAGAAATTATCTAAAGGAATTATCAATTTCATTTCAGCATCAAATTTTGAATTTCTTAGTAAATCATCAACTTTAACATATACTCCATATACATTATTTTTATGTTCAAAAGCATTTTTCCAAGCTGTATAAACACCAACTCTAGATTCTTTTTCTTGTTGAGTTCTACACATTCCAGAAATAGTTGTTTCGTATATCATCTTAGTGTTTTCATAATATGTAGTTCCATTTTTCCAATTAATTTTCATACTGTCTAGCCATTGAGTAGAATCTTTTAAACCAATAAATAACATACAAGCATTAGATTCTTTTTCGACTGATGTAGTTGCAGTTTTTGCTTCATCTAGAACTATTTTAAGTCTTAATTTAATTGTTGCGCTTAAATAACTCTTATCAATATTGGTAATATGAAATGATGGATCTGTTATCGCTATTTTAGAATGAGCATTACTATTAAATGGAACTTGTTGTTGATAAGCATTTACAGTAATCATTCTACTATCATGAACACCATTTTTAGATGTAATTATTTTCTGTTGTTCATCGAAATATTTAAGTATATCTCCTCTATTGGAATCTTCTAAAACTGAAGGAATTCTTATGTTAGACATTTATTACAGTAAAAAATTGAATTTTAAATATTTTAAATGCGGCAACCTGGATATTATAAAAGTCTTAAAAACTTTGCCAATAAAATTTTAGAAGGAG